GGGTCACAGATCCGGGTCCCAGACTGCAGACAGCCTTGCCTGCTGCCGCCTGCCTTCAGTATGCAAATTAGCCGCCATCTTGTTGCTTCAGGGTGGGGGTCCCCACTGGGGTGCCTGGCCAGTCTGGGTGAGGGGCTGAGGGCCGTTTTCAGGCTGGCGGGCGACTGAAGCTCCAAACCTCTCCTTTTTTTCTTTTTTTTTTTATTCTGGCATTTATTTACCTTCTATGGCTGTCACTGGAGCTGAGAGCCGGCTTTCTCTCTGAGGCTCGGCTGCTGAAAGCAGGTTTCTGGCCTTTGTTTTCTGTATTCGAAACAATGTTGCGACTCCAGCTCTGAGATCCCGGCTGACTGACAGGAGGTTTCTGGGGTTTTGTTTATCTTCTATAAATGTTACAATGTTTCCAACTGAAGCTCAGAGGTGGGCAGCGCAGGCGGGGAACGTTGGAGTCCTCCTTCACTGAAGGAAGCGAGCCTCCCTGTTTGCTTTAAGCTGCCTGGCTGCCGGCCGCCATCTTGGCTGTCAGTTAATTTGCATATCTCCCTGATTAGCCAATGGGAAGGGTAGCGGTCGTACGCCAATTACCATGTTTCTCTTTTATTAGTGTAGATGTTTTATTGATTTCAGAGAGGAAGGGAGAGGGAGAGGGAGATAGAAACATCAATGATGAGAATCATTGATCTTCTGCCTCCTGAATGCCCCCTACTGGGTATCAAGCCCACAACCCAGACATGTGCCCTTGATTGGAATCAAACCCTGGACCCTTCAGTCCACAGGCCAATTCTCTATCCACTTAACCAAACCAGCTAGAGTTGATAATGCCTTTTAGAGCAGATCTGCTCCTGACAAATTCTCTCAGCTTTTTTGTTGTTGTTGTTGTCTATAAATTTAATACTTTATTTCACTTCATTTTTTAAAAACAATGGCATTAGAATTTTAAGTGTGCTAACTTTTTCCCCCTGGCATTTTGAAGATATAATTCCATTATCTTTGGTTCCTATT